AAAATGTCAATTTTCATAAAATGGGACTAAAAGTGCCATTTTTATAGATAAAGGGGCTGAAATGGTCAAACTAAATGTTTTTGGGCCAAATAGACAAATATTAAATTATTGAGTTAAAAATGTCAAGTTTATAACGCATGGTTTTTAAAAATATATATATGTATAACCAAAGCTTCGTTATAAATCAAACGTCAAAGTATTTTAACACTTCGAATAAACATTTAGCTTACAACAAATACCTACATTACGAACTTAAGATCAATAAATTATAAATGATTCAATGGTTGGGCTCAAGTATCTTCTATTCGTGCTATTGGGCATTTGTGGCCCAATATCATGATTATTGGGCCAAATATATTCACACATGTTATTGGGCTTCCGGTGACCCAATTACATACCCAATGGACCTTTATCAGCTTTAACATGCTATTGGGCCTTAATGGTCCATTTGCATTGCTAATAAGACCCTAAACATTCATAATATGCTTAATGGGCTATAACGTGTCTGTAGCATACTCGACAGCCTGTAATAACATACAAGGTTAGTGGGCCTCTGTTGTCCTCTTTTCTTCGTCTGTTAGGCTTACCTTTTATTCAAGTAAACATAAAATCGGGTTGTAAAACAATGTTATTCAATTTCATTTGGATTTAGTGAGAAATAACGGGTGACACCAATAAGTGTCAGTCGTAGTCTGTAGTTATAATCAGAGTCTCCTGGAGGGAGAGCGAGAGTTTGTGTATAGATCTATACGGGGGTGACTCCCCCACACCTAAGTTGTTCGCTACAGTTAGACTCGGCCAGTCTAGGTTGACAAAATCTTAATTCAAGACCGGCATTCGATAAAATGCCAAGACAGACGAATTAGTCATTATTATGCATGGTTATAACGACTCATATAGAGATCCATTATCATCTAAGTAATCATGGGAAATCATATTCATACGATGTGACGATGCAAAGAGATTATACAATAATACAAAACTATAATACTATTTATGTTGGAAAACATCGGGTTTTCCGGGGAAACAACATTATTCACTTTTACTTACAACAACTATAATACAAGAAACTGCTATGAAAGGCATTTCACTTTTACATGTTTGAAATCATATACACGTATACTTATGGATCATCACACCTTTTTCGCAAACAGTTTTCGTTTCAGAAAAATATCGGATTTTCTGGGTTTTACAAACAATACAAAACGTTTTTACATCAAACCTGCTTATGAACTCACCAACATTATTTATGTTGACCATTTTTTAAAATAACTTGTGTTCTCAGGTAACCGTTAGAATGAAGAATTATCAAACGTGTTTCTGAAATGTCTTTTGTGTGATGTCGATTGATAAACAATTTATGTTTTGGATTATGTAATGTAAACAATGTACTCGATGTGAACAATGACGGTTGTAATGTATTAATGCATTGTGATGTTTATGTTATGTTTCATGTATATTCATTGTGATGATATTTTAATTTAAGTCACACGAGCCCTCGGACGTTTCCGCCGTCTGGTTCGGGGGTGTGACAATACCTTCCATGAGAGTGTCATGATGTCTTAATGTATTGATAAGTTAAGGTTTTAGCTTTTGGACCTTTTCTGGACATGGAAAGTCATAAAGGTGGAAACTTTATGACTTAGAATGATGTTGTGGGACTAGATCTGAGTGTTGGATGAAAGGACTTAAGAGATTAAGCACTTAATGGAAAAGGGCCATTTGGCCGGGTACGTTGAGCGTACCTTCGAGTACTCGTATGGGGTCCTGATTCTGGTTGGTAAGTACGCCATGCATATGAGCTAAGTACGCTGGGCATACTTAGTCTGAAGTTTGACTTGTTGACTTTGACTTCCGTTGACTGTTGACTTTTGACCAAGTTTGACCTTGGGCCAAACTTGAGGGTTTTGGCCTATTAACTAAGATTTTATTTGGTTTTGGTATTGATAGCTCGGGAAGTCGGCGGGGCAGCAACTAGGGATTCTTCTAGGAAGCTTCTGCAATCGAGGTGAGTTTCCTCCTGTTTGAACGGGTTGAAGACACCAATGTCGGCCCGTATATATGCTTATATGTTTTCCGGATTACGATCCGATGTCGGGCGATGCCCGAGGAATGTTTGTTATGCTTGAGGTCTTTGTGATTCTTGCATGTATCGATATTTGTATGTTTCCAGATTACGATCCGATAACGGGCGGTGCCCGAGGAATGCTTATATGTATGCTTTTCCGGACTAAGGTCTGATGCCGGGCGGTGCCCGAGGAATGTTTATATATGTGTTTCTGGACTACGGTTCGATGTCGGGTGGTACCCGATGACTATGTGCATGTTAGATTATACTTGTTGTATGCGTGATACTTGTATGTGCCTGGTAGAGAGGTGAGTGTGGGCGGGGTCCCGTATCTCATCACTAGCTGAGAGTGGACGGGGTTCCATATCTCATCATTAGCAGAGCAGGGGTGGGGTGGGGCCAATGATAGGCGAGGCCTTAGGACTGGAGCAATTAGTACTATGTATGATTCTTTATGTGCTAGCATGATTATATGATATTGTTTGTATGTGTATAGCGGGCGAGGCCCAGTGATAGGTGGGGCCTGAAAGAAACAAATTTCTATACCGAGCGGGGCCTGATGCCAGGCGGGGCCTGATGCTGGGTGGTGCCCGATGAAGGGGCGGGGGCCCAGTTTATGTGATTATGTGTATGGTATGTGGTTGTATGGGGAACTCACTAAGCTTCGTGCTTATAGTTTTCAGTTTTGGTTTCAGGTACTTCCAGTTGCAAAGAGAAGAGCTCGGGATGACTGCATTGCACACACCATGATGTTTAGCCTGGGATGTTTACTTTAATGTTTTGATTTGGAAACTCTGATAATAATGTTTTGAAATACTTTGACTCATGTTTTGATGGAATGGTTCGATAACTATGGTTTTATTTAATAATTAAAAATGGAATTTTTGGTAATGATTTTTATGAGTGTTACAATTTGGGTTGAGGTAGATGTCAAATAGCTAGTTGGAGTGATTCGCGTGCCAACCCCTCTTACAAATCCACCATGCTCTTTGCCAATGACTGCTGAGAAGGTATGTGTGATTCAGGTACGGTTGACCTTCTTTTTTTATGTGTTTTTATTATTTTTCATTATGCTCTTAGGGGTTAGTTAACATTATGATGGTTTAGTTCTTAATAGTAGTAAACACAACACACACATAGGTTTTAATCTTTAACTGCATTAGATATTAAAACAATGACATGACCATTACATAACATCTCAGTAGTTGAGTTTTTATTTTCAATTAAATCATCGAGCGTCTAAATTTAATGCTTATTTTCTTCAAGGATTTGCTTTTAGTTTTTTCTGATATTGGTATTTTAGTTTTAATTTTTCATAATAAGATTAGTTTAGAAGTTTTTTTGCAGGTTAGATAAAGAATATAGTAAAGAAAATAGCAAAATGATCAAACATTGAATATTTTACGGTTAGACTATTATGTAGATAGCTCACGGACGACTAAGAAGTCATGTTGTTAACGTAAATTACAAATTACCTGCAGACAACTAAAAATGTATTGCTCAATGGATAGGGAAGATGCCCATCAATTGTAGTTGTTTGTAACAAATAGCAACATATGTTTACATGATTAAACTTTATAAACTCATATTTTATTTTATTTATCTTATGGAAACTTATTTTGTCTAATCTACCAAGTGATAACAACTTTATCTAACATTATATTCTTACATAATGCATGACAACACTGGGTGGTGCTAAGCATGACCTTTTTGTTGTTCAAAATGTATAGTTTTATTTTTGTAATTTTCTAGTTGTTCCAAAGTGTTATACATGATTACTTCATATAAGTAGATTTTAGTGCATCCACCTAATACAAATTAGGTAGTTTTATTATTGAGATATCTTCTAGTTTATAAGTTTTATTTAGAACTGAGCAATTTATTTCCACCTTTAAAAAAGCAAATTATTTATATCCAAGTGTATCATAAATGTTGACTTGATGTTATCATGACATTGGTAATAAACGAAAATATGAACCTTCTATTATGTTACAAAATATAAATTATGTATCAGAAATTTCTGATTTTAATTACGAGTCATGAACTTAAAATTAGCTAGACGTATATATTATTTGTATGCAACTTGCCCTACAATATTAATTGAGGAATTCATTGGACAAACCTTACTGTCGACATAGACTCACAGGTAAACATTACTAAGGGAATATAAGTAGAAACACAGTACTATTTACTTGTCATATAAGAGGTAAATGCATAAATTAATTAAAAAATCTACAGATTATAATTTTGAATAACATCCTTGATATATTCCCGATAAATTTACTAAAGCCGCGTATAAAGCATTCACCTTAAATATAGTTCCTTAAATCTAGTTTTCTATAACAACTCGATTGCCATAATTTAATTCTTATTTTTTAATTCAAAATTATAATAATCTCTTAATATGGAACCCACTTGCACCCAATATGGAGTCATCATTCCTAATCGATTAATACGCAAGTTGAGTTCATAATGGACTACCCATAACGATATTCATGTATTGTCATTTCGTTATTTAATTTGTACAAATGCAAAAATAGTATCACAGCTAGCGATTTCTTGTGTTTATTATCAAAACTTAACCAAGTATCATTTGTAATGATACAACAGGTTAGATGCTGAAAACTAGAATTTGCAAACTTGGACTTTTTTTTTTCATTTTTTCTGTATTTATATACATGAGCATAAAGGTTTTTTTTTAACGTGTATTGTATATTTCGAATCAAGTTAAATAATGATATATAGGGGGGCTGAATGGGCAGTATGAACACAAGCAGGATAAGCTCGAATAACATCAATAAAGTTTCTTAGCTGAAAAGACTTTGTTTTCACACATTAAGGTTGACAAGGGTCATTCCAATGGACCTCTGTATTGAATAATATATACAACCAGCTTCAGTTTCATAGAAATATCTCCACTTCAAAATCAACAATGGTATTCAAAACCCTTGTCCTTTTACCTTTCCTAGTACTTGGTGTTCTATCTGCAAGTTCTAGCTTAAAAGATGAAGTTGATGCTTTGGAACATTTCAAGAACTCAATCACAGATGACCCAACTGGTGCACTGCTGGAATGGAATGCTGATTCCACCCACTACTGCAACTGGACCGGAATCCAATGTGATGATGTCTCACAACGTGTAGTTTCCATTTCTATTCAGCAAACACAGCTCAAAGGCCAACTCTCTCCTTTTCTTGGAAACCTTTCCAACCTCCAGGTTCTTGATCTATCTTACAATTCTTTTACTGGAAACATTCCTTCCCAGTTGGCATATTGCACACAACTTGCTGGACTTTCCCTTTACACCAACTCTCTCTCTGGGCCGATTCCATCGGAACTGGGAAACCTCCGGAATCTGCAAATACTTGACCTTGGAAACAATTCGCTAACTGGAATTATTCCGGAAAGCTTGTGTAATGTCACTTCCATGTTAGAACTCAGCCTTGATGACAACAAACTCAATGGTACAATCCCGGAGAGAATCGGTGATTTGATCAATCTTCAGCAACTTGGAGCTTATAATAACCGTTTACAAGGCTCAATTCCTACTTCTGTTGGTAATCTAAAAAAGTTGATAGCTCTTGACTTCAGTCAAAACCAACTTACTGGTATCATTCCTAGACAGATTGGAAACTTGTCAAATTTACAAGCTCTTCAGTTGTTTGAGAATTCTCTTTCTGGAAAAATACCATTTGAACTTGGCCATTGCACCAATCTATCACTTCTTAATTTATACAGCAACAAGCTCGTTGGAAGTATTCCTCATGAGATTGGAAATCTCATGGGCTTACAAGTTTTACGGTTATATGATAATCAGTTGAATTCCACAATCCCAAATCCGTTATTCCGAATAAAATCATTATTGGTTTTGCAACTATCAGAGAATAATCTCATAGGGAATCTTTCTTCTGATATCAGTTCACTGAAATCATTACAATCTCTTACCCTTCATCAAAATAATCTTTCCGGGGAGATTCCAACATCCATAACCAGGTTAGTCAATTTGACATATTTGACAATTAGCTTAAACTTTCTCACGGGATCAGTTCCTTCGAGTATTGGGTCTCTTCATAATCTTAGAAATTTGTCTCTTAGTAACAATCTTCTAGAAGGGTCTATTCCATCAAGCATCACAAACTGCACTAATATCCGTTGGATAGATTTTGCTAGAAATAGGATGACAGGAGAAATGCCTCAGGGTTTAGGGAAGTTGTCAAATCTTACATATCTAGTTGTTAGTGACAACAAAATGTCAGGAAGAATCCCTGATGATCTCTTCAATTGTTCAAGTCTTGTGATCTTAGATATGGCACATAACAATTTCACTGGGTTGTTAAAACCGGGTATTGGAAGACTTTCTAATCTCCAAATTCTGCAAATTCATGGCAATTCCTTTTCCGGCCCCCTCCCAGGAGAACTCAGAAATCTAACTAGTTTGATGTTGTTAAACATGGGACAAAACCACTTTTCGGGTACGATTCCTGTAGAATTCTCAAACATTTCTTCCCTTCAAAGCCTTTCGCTTGGTAACAATAATCTTCAAGGCCAGATTCCAGATGTAATCTTTGAGCTCAAACAGCTTACAGAACTATACTTGATGAACAACAAATTTGTGGGTTCTATTCTGACTTCTGTTTCAAAGCTTGAGCAGCTTTCTCAGTTGGATGTAAGTGGAAACAGGTTTAACGGCTCAATCCCTGATAGTATGAGAAAACTTAACAAGTTGATTTCGATAGATCTCTCACATAACTTGTTCACAGGGTCTATTTCAAGGTCTGTGATTGGAGGTATGAAAAATACACCGATCTTTCTCAACTTCTCCAACAATTTTCTTACAGGAAGGATCCCAAATGAATTAGGCGAGCTGGAGATGATACAAGCCATTGACATCTCAAAAAATAATCTGTCAGGAGGGATTCCGGTGACGCTTCAAAGATGCAGAAACTTGAGAAGTCTTGATGTGTCTGGAAATCAGCTTTCTGGTAGTGTTCCAGAAGAAATATTCCCTCCTCTCGATCTGCTTTCCAGCATAAACTTTTTCAAGAAATCAGTTTGATGGTGAGATCCCTGGAACTATGGCGAATTTGACTCGGCTTACCTCTGTTGATCTTTCACACAACAAATTCAAGGGTTTGATTCCCCATAGTTTTGGTAACATTTCAGTATTGAAACACCTTGACCTTTCTTTCAATCAATTAGAAGGTCGAGTTCCAGATACTGGTATTTTCAGAAACATAACTGCAGTTGGATTACAGGGAAACCCATCTCTGTGTGTTGCAAACAACACAGAATTATGTGCCTCATCAAGTCAATCAAACCATTCACTATCCAGAAAGGCTGTATTGATTCTTTCAATACTCGGATCACTTGCATTGCTTCTTGTATTTGTTTTGGCAGTATTATGTTGTCGGCATGTTAGAAAACCAAAAGTCAAAGAACCCCAGAAACCCAGAATTACCAGAACACACCGCAGGGTTTACCCTCAAAAGATTTAATAGAAAAGAAATTGAAGATGCTACCGACAACTTCAGTGAAGGTAACATTTTGGGTACAACTAGTTTAAGCACTGTGTACAAGGGTAGACTACAAGATGGGAGGATGATAGCTGTAAAGATTTTGAACATCACCCAGTTTTCAGCTGAATCTGACAAGAGCTTTAACAAAGAAATGAACACACTGGGGAAACTCAGGCATAGAAATCTAGTGAAGGTACTTGGTTATGCATGGGAGAGTGGGAAGCTAAAGGCTTTGGTTCTTGAATACATGGAAAATGGTGATTTGGATAGAATTATACACGACTCTGGGATTGATAGATCAAGATGGGATTTGTCTGAAAGAGTAGATGTTTTGGTGTCTGTTGCCAGAGGATTGGTGTACTTACACTCGGGATATGATTTCCCGATAGTTCATTGTGATTTGAAGCCTTCTAACATACTTCTGGATGAAAAGTGGGATGCCCATGTGAGTGATTTTGGCACAGCTAGGATTCTTGGAGTTCATCAACAGGATGGAAGCAGCATATCTTCTGCATCCACATTTCAAGGCACGATTGGTTACTTGGCCCCAGGTAATGAATCACCAACTCCTCTTTTGTCCTTAGCTTTTAGAAAGAAAAAGTAACAATGGTTACACAAGCTTTCAAATTGTGAATCAAAATAGTTTGATTAGTGGACTGAACTTTCAAACATATATAGCTTTTGATGTTATGTTATAATACTTTTGACCTTGAAAGACACACTAATGCATTGTTGCATTTCTGTTTCCCAACAGAGTTTGCGTATATGAAGAAACTAACAACAAAAGTGGACGTATTTAGCTTTGGAATAATAGTGATGGAATTTATCACAAGAAAAGACCCACAGGTGTCCTTACCGAAGAGGAGGGAATCCAGATCACTTTGCCACAACTAGTAGACAAAGCACTATCAAATGGAATAAATGAGGTGATTGAAATTGTAGACCCTGATCTGGCTTGTAATTTCTCCACGAAGCAGGGTTTCATAGAACAACTACTTAACTTGGCCTCATCTTGCACCAAAACGATTCCAGAAGATCGACCTGACATGAATGAAGTCTTATCTTCCCTTACAAAGATCAGTAAGAATGTCTAAATCTTGAAGGTTACAGACCTTTCTTTCTTCAGTGAAAGCTTTGTTTCTGAGAATCAGGAGGGTGAAGATAGATTCTAGTTGGACCTCTGTAGACAAGTGTGGGTTATGCGACTTAAAGCTAAGTGAAAGGGCCTGCTTGCCGATAAAGCAAAAGTCGTATACTTGTGTTTTAGTATAAATGCAGGTTTAGTGTAAGCCATTAGTTTGAAGAGTTAGTTGTCTTAAATCTTGCATATTTTTTCTGTGTATGCCATTAATGTCAAGAGCAATTCAAGAAGTTCAGTGGTGTTTTATTTCATCTGATTTGCATAGCTTCTTAGTTACATATATTACTACTTTAATCTATTCATTTCATCAAGCAAATTGCTATCTAAGATTCTAGGGAGTGATTTGTGTTTGATCAAAGAGCATGAATTCGTAATTCCTTACCACATGGATTGTAGCCCAGAGGAGGTATCATCATGTGTTTCCCTCCTTCCTTGAGATTGAGGGTTCAAGTCTCATTTTAGTTTATAAATAAATTAGATTTTTCATATAGAAAAAATTGAATTCATGATTCTGTCATCCACGCCGTTTGGAATATCGTAGGCTACCCAATCTCCCCCCCATACTATTCATGTACATGTACAGAGTATATATAGATACATATATTATAGTTTGGTACCACTATTACTATAAATATTAGAATATATAATTCCGAGTCTAATATACCCCTCGGTCTAAGGAGGAGGATGTTGAATGCTTAGACTTGAAGTCGTTAAATAAAACTGGTGGTAATCTTTTTATGAAAATATCAGTAAGTTGTTTACGTGATGGGACATGCAAAACCCTTATGTAGCCATGTTGAACTCTCTCTAACAAAATGAATGTCGATTTCGAGATGTTTAGTGCGTTGATGTTGAATGGGATTTCCCAAAAATGTATATGGCACTAACATTATCACAATGTAATGGAGAAGTACGCTGCGGTGGACAACCCAACTCTAAAAGAAGATTTCGAATCCAACAAACCTTAGCAATAACATTTGCAACACCTTTGTACTCGCCCTGGATAGAGAGACTGTAGTCTACCGTTTGGAACACCACGAGAGTAAGTTATCATCCGGGAAGATCGAGTAGTCGGACGTGGAACGTAGTGACACACCCCAACCGATGGTCGTATCATCGGGATACGCGACGTCAATGAATATCACAGTCAAAGCATACATGAACTGTACATAAAAACATAAAGTATCAAGATTACATAACTCAAAAATATCTTACATCGTCACATTTATCCTTACAAATCTTCAATGTGGCAAAGAGTAGCGACAAAGCATAGTTAATACAAAAAGGAGATGCAATAAAACCTACACTTGAACTCCCTCATTCTACTTCCCTTAGAATACATGTTTTAAAAATACGTCAACAACGAATTGTTGGTGAGTTCTATAGGTTTGGACTCCATATACCATTAAAATCATAAAGTATATCATTTATTAAAAAAGTTTTGAAAATCAAATCAAATCATATTGAAACCATTTTATTTGAGTCAAAACATATCTGTTTCACCAAAATACTTTCGTGCAATAATGAAAAGTTTATAAAAATATCTTATTCATATATAAGTTTAAAACGTTGATCAGCCGTGTCATATTATTAATTAAGTGATTTATGACTTAATTTTAGTGATGACTCTTATCATTTTGAGTCAAACTATCTCACTACATATAGTCTCTTTCAACTAGTATAAGCGAAGAAAATCCCGCACAAATCCTATTTCAATTCTATACGAAAAGTCTGGGGTCTATACTGGAATCTTAACCGAAATCCGACACGGGACCTCTGCACTAACACTGCAAGAGATATGTTGAAAGTCCACACCGATGCTTTATCAACATCATGGGTTAAATAGAGTAGAAATGCCAACGCCTAAATTTGAGTCGTCAGACAATAGTTGTAGCTAACAACCATTGGCAGGATGTCTACCCGTATAAGTCTGTACCACCGATCTTATACCTGTTGTTCCATGTTCCATACAGATTAATGGTTATAAAACAGAGGGCTTTTACTAAGACGTATAGTCTTAGTGTAGTGATAAACATAGTCCATAAAGGAAGAGTCGCGAGTATTGGATCCTAACAATGTATCTAGGCATGATAATCCTAAACTTTCCATTATAGGATTATTAAAATAATTATAGTTTTGTGGTTTAGGAATAATCTTTGATCGATGTCTTTAGTATTGTGGATTAACAAAACTTAACATAGTTTCAAATTTTATTATTTACCGTGATAAAATCTGGGTAGCATAATGGTTGCTTTTATGATATTTTCTAGGTTTCATCCAATGTGAAAAACGAACAATTCCCATAAAACTAATAAGTCACATAATTAAAACGATACATAATTTCGTAAATAACAATTTTTAAATCTTGAAGTTAATCATGTTACTTTATGCAACAAAATCCGTAATTTTGTAAAAATGAGTTATATTTTTATAATTAGTATAAAAATATAGTAATTCGTTTTTGCATTCATTTTTACATAAACTTATATAATAAGAGTTAATTTTTGATAATTTTAACTAATAATTATATATTTCTATAAATTTTGTTTTTCCACCATTTATGGTAATGTACATTTTTGGTTATAATTATATATTTTCATGAATCCCTAACATACTCAAACTTATATATACAAAGATCATAGTTTTTATGAATTATCATATTAACTTGTATCATTATAGCATTCTACTTATGATTTTATGGTTTTTCTTAACTTTTATAATCATTTTTCATAACAAAGTTCAAGCATGTCAATAATAGCATTATACTTAACTTACCATACTTATTGGTAAATTTTATCATTTTATGTTGTTATTTCCTACTTTTCTAAACATTAACAAAGTAGGTTGCTATTTTGTGCATGTAAACTTAGAATCCATCAAAACTTTCAACAAACCACATTTATTCTCCCCCAATTATGAAAATTATAAAAATGGGTCCATAAAAGCTCACCCTAGTTGTGTGAGTCGGGTTTTGTCGGGAAATCGGGAAACCGAGCACTAAATCGACTTTTGGAATGGCAGGCTTTGGGATCGATCTAAACACACACAAAGGAACATAAAATGTTAGAAACTCATAAAAATCAGATTTCAACACCACTGGACGGAAGGAACAGTGTAACCGGAGCTCCACGCACCGCGCAACCACGGTGGCGTGTGATGGCGATGTGTGATGGTTTTCGACTTGGTTTCAAACAGAAAAACCTCTTGCTCACTTGGAACTCAATGGTTGAAGCAGATGGGAAGCAAGGTAAATGTTTTGGGGCTGAAACAATCGAGAAATGGGGAAAGCTGCCAGTGATCTTTTCCATTTTTCTCACGAGAAACTAAGCCCGACAATGGCTATTTTCGACCGGTGATGGGTCAGCCGGATACGATGAAGATCAGGGGGTGTTTGGGTAGCTTATCGACGTGAAAGGAGGAAGAAAAAGTGGTGGAACGGAAGGCAGTATCCTTTGTTATCCTCTTCGGTTTTCCGGTGATCGAGTGAGAAAAGAGAGAGAATGATCGAGAGGGGAGTGGGGAGGAAGGGTGTGAATGATTCGGTAAAGCTTTTGTAATCTTAAAGCAGATTTTTAGAAGACTTTTTGAGCATTGGAAGTACTTGGCAAATCAATGGAAGGATTTTGGAGATTACAAAACCCTATTGCTTTAGGTATGCATGTGTGAGTTGTGGTCGATCATGAAGCATGAGGGGAGGAATAGGAGTTTATCTCACAAGTACCAACTAGATTTCTATGTATTATTTGCTTTAAAATGATATATACATATGGTATACGTTTGTAACTTTATAAAGCAATTCCATACAATATATATAAATATGTTATGAGTTTGTTATATTATATACTAGGTTATAACCCGTGTTCCACACGGTTAACAAATTAAAATAATCTACATAAAAACAAAAACATTGCCATTAATCATAAATTTACAAATTCTTGTGGTGATATTTTATAGCAACATACTTCCATTCAATTGTGTAGAATACCATCTTACTTTGGTAGTTGGAGCTTCTATTGTGCTATATATTTTGATTCATTTCTAAGTCCTAGGTACTTGATATATTTGTTTCCATCATCACTAACAGTTGTAGCTTATCTATCCTAACCCAATAAGGCATTCATGTAGTCTTGATGTGGTTGATAATTCGAAACAGATGTCTTAAATATAGTAACCTGCATTCTAAATCATTACCCTATGTGCTCTAATGGAAAAACAAAAGATCATGGAAACACAAACTGCTTTACAAATAATGTAAATGCTAATAGATGTTGCCTAGCAGTAATTAAAACAACACTAATAGATTTTCCTATTTTTGTTATGTATTGGACATCTTACCAATAAAAATCATTGGTTCTCAAAGCATTCATGACTAATCTACACTATGTTAATGAAAAGTGTCGCCACTTTAATGACAAGATTAATAGATGACAGATGAAAATAAAAAAAATGATAAAAGTAAAGTTACCCATCCTAATGGTCATTACAGTATTGTGTTAGAACAAACATAAGTTGAAATCCTTAAAGTAATTATAAACAACAGTCCCTTATTTATATATATTTACATAAATGGTCCCTATGTGAAAATAATTAGTCACATAGAGGTCTTAATTTCTCTTTGCATAAAAGTAAAGCATAAATGGAAATAAAAATAAAAGTATGATACAATATTAGACACAAAAATGAAAGTACATTGCTATTTTCTGTAAATTAACATTTGGTGGTGATAATGTCATAATGAAGCTTACGTTGAGTTATGAAATTAACTATCTAACCCTTCTAAAAATTAACTATTTTTTATTAATATAGCATCTACCTTCGAGTTCTAAAAAAATAGTTTGCATGAATGATTGAATGGTCCGTATTTAAATAAATTAATATAAATGGTCCTATACAAAAGTAATGCATAAATAGAAAAACAAAAATAAAAGTACGA